TGATTGTTTACAACTTCTGTGTTCCACTGAAACGACAAGAAAAATTAGAAAAAAGTAAAGCATTCACTGCAACATTTCTTGTTTGTATAACAGATGTGGCTCAAATGATGTGTATGTTTTATATATTAAAAAAAAAGTTCATTTTTATTATTTACAAATAAAAAAGAATGTGTGGAAAAAAATTACAAGCCTTTCTCCTTTATTATTATTATTATTATTATTATTATTATTATTATTATTATTATTATTATTATTCTCTCAGTGTTGGCCGTCTTTTAATGAGCTGGGCTTCATCGGGCACCTTCTGCACAGTTTGTTGGATTTGTCTGTGAGGAAATCCTTCTTTCATGTTTAAATTCAAATTTATTTTTAAAGTACATTTAAAACAGGAAGCGTTGATTCACAGTCATGAACACATCAGATGTAAACACGATGATCAAAAGACTGATCTGAATAAAAACAGTAAATTAAGAGACACAACAGGAGCTTTAGGAGAAGAGCTGAGTCTCTGTTTTGCGTCCAGATGTTGGAACATCTCTGAACATCTGGTTCCTCCAGCTGGGGGGTTCTGGTGTAGCTGGAGAACATCAGGGCAGGACGTTCTAACTCTCTGCTCCGCTCTGTTGCAGAACTGGAGAAAAAGTTCAAGAACCACGAGCAGCGGATGGAGAAGCAGCGGCTGGAGCTGGACGAGCTGAAGGACAACGCCACGATGGTGCGGGACGAGATCCGGGAGCAGGTGCAGAAGTACAGCAACTGTCTGTGACGACTGAAGAACCACGCTGAGCGAAGCGCTGCTCTGGAGGTTGTCCCGCCGGTACGTCCAGTTTTACACATTGACCTGTAAGTGTTATATCTCAGAGAAGCCCAGCACGGTGCCGCCGTGTGACGCCGACACGTCAGCGACACGACGCCACCGCGAGGCGCCTCGGCCTCTCAGGCGTCACAACGAGAGGAAGAGCTGTGGAGCGTTTGTGTTTCATTGTGTAGGCCGTGAAGAATCAACCTAATCCATCTCATCAGTAACACACAGAAGGACTATATTAGAGCACGTTATCGGACAGTTACTGGGACCAAAAGGGCTGCGAAGACTTTGTATTGTTGCTGTAATTTGACCTCATTATCCTGATATATGTACACGGTGACACTCCTGTTGGGAAACTTGTGGAATTAAAGTTTGTTATTATCACAAAAGAGAATAAAGGCAGAAATATCCTTATGAGTAAAATTCATCCTGAGGTGTGACGATGGAGGAAAATAAATTTAATACCATTTATGTACATTATTTGCGTCATGTTTTGTGTGATAACTTTATTTTTTCTCCGCTGCAGAAGATGTTTCAGTTCATCACCACAAGGGGGCGACTCGTCCTCAGCAGGGCACTTCTGTCAGGTTGAATGATTTAATACAAGTTAAACCTGGTTAGAACAGGCTGCCACACAAAATGATATAGAATAAAATACGACAACAGGAATTGTAAGAATTCTTTCTGAATAAAAAAAACAAATAAAGAAAAATGAAATATTAAGACCCTTAAGAGCGGCTAAAACGTGCATCTTTAGGTTTTTCTTGCAAATATGAAAACAAGAGGAACATTTGACTGAAACACGACGGTTCACAGCCGGCATGTTGACACGTCGTCTGATAAAAACCACAGACGTAGTGAAGAACACTGATTATAGCTGCGCTCCGTTTAGCTCAGTGAGTTCCTGTGTTGTGTCTGTTAACTCATTGGAACGGCTGTTATTAATGAAATTAGACATAAAATTGTGCTTTTCCTGCCAAAACGCCTGCTGCAGGAAAGGCCTATTATCATTAGAGTTGTGTCCTGACTGTGCTAGGTTGACATTTGGTTGAATTTTGATGCAGGAAGACTTTAAAAAAAGTATTAAAATGTTTTATTATCATGCTAGAGCAGCCTTTGTGCTCAAGTAAAAGTCGGTACCTGTTTAACAAAGTGAGTAGAGATAACAGAAATGTGACTTTACTCAGGATTAAATGGCTAAAAAGGTGAAAGAGGTCTCTACTAATGGATCTACACTGTGGAGTTATCACCTGACTCTGCAGCTTTAGCGTCTTTCAGCTCATTGTTTTGATTTTACGTAACTTTATTGTTTGGTTCCGTCTCATCAGTTTTGTTTTTGCGGCCTTTTCACACAAAACAAAACAATTTAAAACCGTCGCTACAGGCGAGCTGCTCCTACATCCTCCACTAGCTGAACGCTGGAGACCCGAAGGTGGAAACTGAACCCAACAAACAAACCAACTTGTGATCATTGAACTAAAACTGAGTTGTCGTCGTTATACAACATGTCTCGGGTTTGAAGTGATGAGCCGTGGCCATCTGCTCGTCTTCATCGTGGCTCCACGTAAACATGCCAAAGGAGCTGAAAAATCTGGTCGTGAGTCTTCACAAAGTCGGAAAAGGATGAAGGACGATTGACGAGCAGCTAAGAATCAGTGGAAACGCAGTAATGAGGAGGTACAGAAGGAGCAACAGCACCGTTTGCACGATTTAGCTGCTTCAGATTTAGACATCAGAGTTTCTGTGGAGCTCAGACAGTTGATGACCTCTACAGCGCCGGAGGAAAACACATTGGATCGCTGTTGGAAACAAAACTGGAAGATGATGCTTTGCTAAAGAAGCCTGATGGATGCTTTGAACACTTGTTTTAATCATATGAGATAACTGGTGTCAGCATGTTTGGTGTGGACCTGGTCAGGACCACCACGGTGAGCTCGTAGGTGGGAGTGTGATGATGTGAGGCTACAGAAATGTGTGTGAAACGTGTTCAGGAGACGACATTGATCAACAGATAAACCAAAACTACGAAGTGTGTCAGAAAACCTCCAGGACTGGTGTCACAAAGTAATATTTCAAATCCAGACAACAAACATAATCCCTCTGGAGTCGAACCCACCTCCCCAGCCTGCTCTTCACGCCGCCATGCACTCCTGGAAGGATCCTCTGCAGCTCCGTCGTCACAGCCATCTTGATGTCGTCCACGTCTTCTAAACGGGTCTCCTTGATGACCCTCTTGAGCTTGAGGAAGAGGAAACAACCCCACGGAGCCAGGTGGGGTGAGTAGGGAGGTTGCTCCAGCACAGAGATGTTCTTCTCAGCCAGGACCTGTGGGATGCTCAGGGCGTTGTCATGGTGAAGCAGCCACCACTGGTCCTGCCACAACTCTGCCTCTTCTCTGAACGAAGCAAACGGATCTGTGTGTAGACGAGCTGGTTGGTCGTAGTTTGGGTTTGAAGTACATCTTTAGTGACACCGGTCCTGGAACTTTTCTGACACACCTCGTAAAAGTTTCTAAAGAAGAAGAAACGTACGACCTGGACAAACATCTGGCCTGATGTGGAGGAACAACTTTGGGGTATTTTATTCAGAGAGACAGCAGCTCAGCCTCTAACAAAATGTTCTCTCTGAAAAGTTCATGTATGAAGTATTTGAACTAATAAATAAAGACGTGCTGACTTTAGTTCATTAAAGTCCTGCTGTAGGGGCTGTGCTTTAATAGAGCAGTTTACACTCATTCTTATTCGAATGAGACAAAATTGTAATTATTTTACATGAATTTAAGGTTATTTAAAAGAAAAGAAAATGTGTTTATTAAGGATTGAACATGAGAACCATCAGAAAAACAGACAAAACAACTAATACTGTCCAAATATCAAATCAGTATTTTTACCCATGATAATAAAACATGTTGAATCACAATATTTTACTGGATTTAAATCAGATCTGTTGTTACTTTACAGACATTTGCTGTTATTTGGAATAAAAAGAAGTATTTACATGATGTAGAAACAACAATTATTTTACAGATTTGTCCTGTTTTGGTAAATTACAGATAAAAACTAGTAAAAAATCATATAAAACATGCCTTAGTCCCAGTGATTTAGTGCTTATTTCGTATGTTATGTACTAAATTGCTGCTTCGTCTGTGTTTGTTGGATCACAAATGGATGAAGGGCCTCCAGGTTTTAATCTGTGAAGTGTCACGAACCATAAAGTTGTTTTATTTTAGAAGCACATCACATGTTTTTATGTAAACTTCTGATCTGGACGTGATTTATTTGCACATTTCAGGTCGAACTGGAGACACCTGTGGAGTCACTTTCTCCTCTTTACCTACAGGAGCAGGGTTTTTCTTTTTTTCTCATTTCACTCACCTCCAGCAGCTCTGCTGGTTTCTCTGCTGGCCTCTAACAAAGAGCGGCTGTCCTCCTCCTGCTCAGGGAATTTCTAATATGACACAGATCTCCAGCCGCCTTTGTCCTGCACAGGAGGTTCTGCCAACACCTGCGCACAGCACCGCGCTGAGCTGGACCGGGACACAACACGTGTTCAAGCTGCTGTTTGAATGTGTTCAGCTCCTGGATCCAGCGGGTCAGAAGTAACGCGCGCAAACACGGTCACCTGCAGGCAGACCCGCGCGCGCTCACGGCTGCGCAATCAAAGGGAATCTAATCCGAGCGGCCGGGAGCGCGCATTCCTGCAGCGGCTCC